CGGAATTGCCGGTAATATTGAAGGAGTTCGGTCTCGGTCGATATATCGTTGTCGACATTGCCTATTACGACGTGTTCTAGGTCACGTATGGTATAGCGTTGACCCTTGTCGGCACCGGAGTACTGAGCTAGAATGCTAGCTTTAAGAACATCGAAGTCCTTACTTTCATAGCCCGTTAATGTCACCCAGAAACGTTTCGTCTGAATGTCCACATATCGAACGATTGTCTTGCATTTTTCTGCGGGAGTAAGTGTGCAAGCATCCGCTAAGTCCTCAAAAAGCTCGAAGAACTCGAGTAATTCCGAGGTCTCCCCGTTGAACGATGGGGCTTTAGTGGAGTTGGCCCCTGGCATAGCGTTAATGCCTCTGGATGTGTTGGACATGCTTAACGGTACCGAGGTAGTGGGAAAACGATGCGCAAAAGGGTGCGATAAGGTGGAAGGTGCTGCGGAGATGGAGATGTGTGATGGTTGCGATGGTACGAGTGCAGCAGGGGCTATGACCTGGGTGATAGGAAGGGTAATGGTGCTAGGAGCGGGATGTGCAAAAGGATTCGGTAAGGCGGGAGGTGCTGCAGGTAGTGGGGTTGCATGATGAATGAGCTGGTGCGGGTGTGGTAGGGACTATGTTTTGGACGCTAGGGAGCATGGTGGTTTTGGCAATAGGAGTGTTTGGCGGGGGTATGGGAGCGCGAAGGAAGTCAGGTTTGGGAATAGGAGGGAGGGATTTCGCTGGGGGTACGCCTTCAGTTCGGGGAAGGAGCAGTGGGGGTTTCTGCTTCGAATACGGCTGGTCTTAAGGTGAAAGTCGGCTGAGGGATGGCGGGGAATGGGGAATTTGTTTGGAGGAGTAGTCCCACGGTATCGTCGTCCGATAGTGAAGATTCAGTTAGTCCTTCTGAAGTATCTGCGTTCGTATGAACGGATCTGTGGCGAACTGGGGTCTGAGGAAGGGTGAGAATTGTCGGTTGTGCTAAGGATGGGGCGGAAGGAGAGTCAATGGTGTTTGCGCGGGATCTGTTCTTCTTGGGAGCCAGCGCAGTTGGCTGCTTCTTGCGGCGAATTTGCGCGTTAGGGTGATAATACTTTGAAATAATTATGATAAGCGTGGTCCAGAGACCGGGTATGGGACGAGTCAGACTAGAAGATCAGTGAAGATCAGCGAATCCGACTCGAAGTGCGAAGGGGTGTTAAGACAATTCCCCTCGCGGTGGGCTCCAATATGTAAGGCTGGTTCGAGCTCTGAGGGGAATGTGTGCTTTGGGTGTGAGACGAAAAGGATACGTTAGTGACGGTAGGATCTTTCTATAAGGACGAGAGGTTAGAGTATTATAGCGAACGACTGCCTGAATCAATGGGGGGACGACAAGTTATCATTCTGAGGCAAAGTACATGAGTGCTTTTTAAGGTATGAGGCGATAAGGGTCCTCGGTATGCGTAAACCGAAAAGGGAGAGACGGAGAGTGAGTGGCGGCGATCCTGACAGAGTCGAAATAAGGAATGCGAAAGAGAGTACGAGAATATTGAATGAATGTTGCTCGTAAGCAAGAAGGTTTGCGCAGGAGTGACGAGAGTTTCGTAGCTCGTTTGACCGCTCTGGGTACGGCGAGGTGGAAATATGAAGATATAACGAGAGAAAAAAGGGTCCACAAGTTGGTAATGGTAAGGGTATCGTATAACGATGGATGAAAGACCGAGCGGGATGTTGACGACAATGAGCTAATGAGAGTAAGAAAGAGGATTGTGTCCGCGTGACTCGGATGCGAAGCGTGATGTTTCTTTGCATCCTTCGAGTCACGTGGCTGACGGGACACAAGGTCCGTAAGTCTTTCTGTGAAGCAGTGGTCGGGGCGCAGAGGATATGGCATCCTTACACTCGTATATGTTGAAGTAAGATGTCACCACACTCCTGCGACATAAGAGATACAATAGTTAGCGATGAAGACAAGTCAATTATGAAAATACTACATTACCTGGCTACACTCATATTTCGTTCGTGAAACAATAAACTTACCACCTCACGTGCTCCGGCATTCGGATATGTCAGACGCAGTTCACCCATAGCCTCGTGGATGGTCTCGACGGTATGATGTTGTTGGCGTGCTCGTCGAAGTCCCATGCCCTCGCGAACCTTGAGAAATTTGGTAAGTCTAAGCATGGTGTCAGAATACATTAAAGGGACAGTGAAAGTAAAGCTTACCCTAGACCATAACGTTGTGTGTTGAAGTGTTTCTGCAGTTCTGCAACAATCTGCTTGTCCGTTTGACAGGCCTTCCAAAGGCGAAGTATGTGCGGTTGGATAATATCCAGAGGTGCTAATTTGATGTTCGGAGTTAGCAGCATTGATCTAGAACAACAGGACATACGTGTGGGCTTCCACTGATTTGGCATTATGGCACTGGAGGCACTGGAGACGCAAGTAGCACTGGAGGCACTGGAGATGCAAGTAGCACTGGAGGCACTGGAGATGCAAGATGTTAGCGATGAGGGCACGGCAGGGTATTTAAGCTGAGTATTGGTATGTACCTCCAACTCCGAGTCGGATAGAGTCGGATGCGTCACCCGAGGAATAGATAATACTATCTCCATTGAGTAATTGAGAACAATGTCGTACGACGCACCAACACTGTTTCCTGCCAAAGCTATACTGAATTAGAGAGCTCATCCAGTGGAGAACGATACCTTGCTGATGCACACCAATACCGTTTTACTGGATTTGGATCCCTTTTGCCTCGTGCTGGACAGGGGCTCAGGAAGAGATATGAGGTTTTTGGTAAGACCCATGGCAGTATCTCAAGTATTCTACCTGGGCCGAGGAAAAGAGCAATCGTGTTTCAATGTTGCTAATTGCCGCTCCTCCTGCGTGGAGAGTCTTGGAGAGTCTCTCGTTGACTGGGTGAGAGACTGTCCTATTTCACTGTGCCAAGCTCATGAAACCCGGTGGTCAATGTTCCCGGTCCTTTAGGATTGGCCTGTTAGCCATCGCAGTATCTCAAGTATTCTACCTGGTCCGAGGAAAACTGTTAGCAATTGACTGGGTGAGTAGTATTTAAGCCATGCAGCTCTGCGCTATTACTACTATTCATTCTCATGGCTAACCCTGACAATGTTGTCTGTCAGTTCACTGAAGACGCCTTCGCTGCCGAAGATCGGATCTGTGAGCGGCCCTCTTGTCGTGCCCAGATCAACAAAGGCCAACCTTGTCACTATGTGCATACAATTGAACCTGGCAAAGCAGGGCTGTCATGTATGTGCAGCCTGCTATGCACGTTATCAGACGAAGTCTGTGACGTCAATGAAGAGACCCACAGGTGAGTCAATAATGCGCATTTTATTATAATAATAATTCTAACTGCTGGCAGCACCGTGGTATCCAGTCATCTAGTGCGCCGTCTACTGCAGCTGGCGATCGCCGGCCTAATCCTCAGATGGTCAGACAGTCAGTGAATGCTGCCCAAAGGAAGTGTAAGTTGCATCAACCTTCGTAGGACAGGACTTGCACTGACATTACCACAATAGCGAGCATTAATCCTCCTCCTGTTGTTGCAGTTCCTGACTGGATTAATGCCGCTATGGGCCCACCACCTACTATCCCTCGTCACCGCTCAAACACTGGCCCTGATATAGTTATCCCTACATCTTGGCAGGGGTCAGCAGCTCCACTGGTACCATCAAGGCTCACTGGCGCTGTCGGTTATTCATCAAACCACGGATTATATGCAGGAGAACGTCTCAGATGGGCTAAAGCTGCCTATGCTACCCCTGGTGCTGCGCTGGCGGCCGAAACCATATCGCTTGAGATTTCAGCCTGTTCACGAAGCAGGGGGGCGCAAGAAATCAAGAGGCGTACCAATTGGAGTACGTTCTTTCCTTAGTATGCTCTCTTAAGTGCGTGCTAATGTATTTTCATCTAGAACATTTGTGAAGGCAAGAAAGACATAGATGCCCGCATTGATGCTCCAGGTCTTATCGACCTTGCTCTGAAGACTGTGCTCCCTAAGCTACGTGCTTTTGGTGGCGTATTTTCATGGCGTGACGAAGAATTCATTGTGCGAGACTCGGGATGGGTGGACCTATCGACACACCAGTCATTAATACCGTACTTCTATTCACAGTGCCTGCAGCCAGGCCGCAAAGGTCCCAAAGGTTCCATCAAGGGCCCTACATTCAAGACGAAGCAATTTACCCTCAGTGGTAGTCGTTCCAGAGCATCAATGGACAGAGTTTGAAAATTGGCAAGACGATACTGAGATGGTGCGCTTATGTATTGCACACTCGTTGTCTATGCTAACTTATACTTGATTCTATAGGCTATCGAGCGTTCACGTTCACGTCGGTCCTCTAACACCGAGCGTTTAAGTCATTCCTCTAATGCCAAGGGCAAGGACAAGGACACTTCAATATCATACACGACAGATGATGCGGTGTTTGACTCAGTGCAGAATTCGGCAGGCCGAGACACTTTATTTTACTCGGCACGGGACACGGCTGCCAGCACTAAAATCCCTTCATTCGACTCAGCACGGGACACGGCTGTCAACGCGCAGGACACAGCTGCCAGCAGCGCAGCCCCATCACTCAACGCACAGGACACGGCTGCCAGCAGTGCAGCCCCATCAAAGCCCCACTCACTGGTCCCTACTAGTACCGGCAAACGAACGCATGAACGTGCAACCAGTTCTGGCACAATCTCACCCCCTCACAAATTACGGGTACCTCCTGCATTGTCTCCTGATCGCAATGATCTCAGGGAGGCCCTTAAGATTGGCGGACGTGCCGACTTGGATGTCAAACAAAGTATGTTAGTTCGTTTGGTTTATTCAATGCACTCACTGTTTCGTGTTAGTCTCCAAGTTTCAGAATGAGAACATTCACTTTTACTTGATCCCCACGCGACCCCTCAATGAGCTCTTGATGTGTACTCGCTACCACTCATTCTCGGTGGATAATGCCGACTCGTCAGTTGGTCATGTCACGATTGACCCATCCATCGAAGGCCGTATTGGAATAGGCGGATTTAAAACAGCGCACCGAGGATGGCTAACACTGACGGTACCTCCTAGCTCAGGTCTGGGGTCACGCGCGAGTCACAAGGTTGTTGTGAAACGACCATTCCACAAAGTGTACCCCCAAGGCAATAGCATCGACTACAGAATTGGACGCTTTGCGGCAGTCGACGAGCTCGCCAAGCTGTTCAGAGAGGCCAACGTCCTATACTGGGCGAAGGCGCTTTTAGGTTTTGTGTATGATTTCATCAACCACGCCATTGCAGACGCATCTGATCCTCCGCCATTCGCTATTCCACAAGTGTGGTTTGTTGAAGCCGGTCTTGTGCTATCTTACTCTCAAGGCAACAGCAAGTCTACATTAAAGACAGGGACAACACGCACAGCTTTCCTCCTTGAGGAGGTTATTGAGGGCGAAGATTTCACCAAATTTATCCATAATATGGATCCTGACCCGCTGCTTGACCCAGACCAGGATGGGTATGACTTTGCGCTGTTTTTGGCATTCACACAACATATCCAGTACGCGAAGACGGGTGGGCTGGTGTATATATCCGACTATCAAGGTATGTGTTCCATGACCCAGTATTCTATATTCTCAACGCCATTGATCAAACAGGCAATACATCACTACTGACTGACCCTCAGATCATGACTCACTCATCTGTTAGTGAAGGCAAAGATATGTTTGGGGGGGGGGAATATTGAGAAGGCGGTGAATGAATTCGAGAGACGCCATGTTTGCAACGAGTTCTGCAAATGGCCAGGATTTGGACTTAAGACACTTGGGGGAGGACTCGCAGCAGTTAAGGCACTTGGGGAAGGACTCGGAGTAGCTTAGATCGATCACACTATGTGTTTTGTTTTGGCTTATATTTTTTGGCTACACTTAGTGTTACAATGTATAAGGACTTTTTCTCGAGTGCAGATGTGCGTAACCCTAGGTTCATTGTCCACAAACACAAATGTCGAGCGCAGATGTGCGTAACCCTAGGTTCATTGTTTACAAATACAAAAGTGGGGTGCTCGAGGTCCGATTACCATAAGCAGTAATTGTAATGAGGTAAGTGAGCACGAGTGTCCGGGCTTCCATACGGCACTCATTCCTGCGCCGGATTTGGCAACACTTCCAAGCTTCGGGTCTTTAAAAAAGACATCAGCAGCGCTCCGCTACACTCGGCTTTCACTATTACCTTGTACCTGGTTGGCTAGCGCCGTACGATCCGGATATTCTAGAATCCTTTTAATCCAGGGCGTTAAGCGTTAGGCCATTAACCGTTAGGCTCAAGGCAGTGACAAGCAACTTGAAGCTCACGCTTACTGTTTATGAAGCTAAGCCATAATTACACCGCTTACCCGGTGGCGCGGGTGGTTCTACTACGTCAACATCGTCAGCATACTGCCTTGCGCCGTCCAGGGCCCTGGCAGGCTGGCAGTAGCTCGTTAGGTCATCTTCCCCACCATCCATGCCGTGTTTTGGTATCTTCTCGCAATCCATCACTGATGTGGTTGCGTTTACGGTAAATGTTTTCTTGCTCTCTCATGTTTGTCAAGTTGCCGATCTTTTTCTGGGTTGGCACTGTTTCACTGCTGAATTGCTACACTGTCTCGTGTTTACCTGGCTTCTTGACGCTCCGTTCATCTGGCGTCTTGCTTCCTTTGTTCTGGTCACCCGTATTTCATGTGTATCGCAATTTGGCAATCTACCTTTCTTTTTGAAGTGTCTCCACCCGTCCAGCCCTCCGTCCAGTGCGTTGTTGAGACCCAAATTTTCCTATGATACTGCCCATCATTGTTTGGGTAGGAATACCCTGCTTCATATCACCACCACATCCAGTCCTCTGTTGATTCGAATCCCACGCAGCAAGCCAGCCTTCATTTGCCTCTAATTTGCTCATGCGGCATGGGTCTTTGGCACTTTGCAGACTTTTTATATGGAAGCTTGAGTTCATCGCTGCCTGTTGATTTGTACTAAACACTGAGGTCCTGAACTCGATGAGTGCACTCTAAACAAAAGATGTTATTGACCTTGTATTGACCTCTTTGTTGTTATTTGTTTACACGAGTAAAGAAGTCATCCAGAATAGGAAATTATGTTGAGGAGAAGTGACGTCATGGATTGATCATGAACAGAATTAAATGACGTCGCGTTGCGGTCATTCAAGCTAGATAAAACCAGTCGAGAACACAAGCCAGAACTCCAATAAATCCTCTTTACCTTACCATGTCTCTCCCGCCAACAACCCAAGATATTTCAGAACACCCCAAGGCAGGCTCTGTTGCCGCACCAACGGACAAGGCTGCTAAGGAGGCTGATGTCTCCAGAAAGGTGGCTTTTTATTGAAATAGTCGTAATAATCTTTGCTCAATGCTTTCGTCGACCAGATCAACCTTTACGGCGTGATTGAAGCATTTCGCCAAGGGCGTATGCCAGATAATCATCAAATAGACGAAACATTGCGGTATTTGCTGAAGACATCACCAGTGGACGAGAGCAAGTTGTCCTCAGACGGGCGAAAACTTGTTCAAGATTTTCGTGAAATTATTGAAACTGCGCGTATCATAGTTGCCGAGAAAAATGCCGATGAACTTTTCCAGAATTTTATCTGGAATACTCGCGATATTTCTCTTGACAGTGCAAAGATGGACCCCAACGCAGTCGCATCCGCCGATCGCCCAAAAATTGACGAAGATCGCCAGACTGGTGCGTGTGCGCTCACGATTTATTGAAGCGGTACTTAATGCAATGTTTTGCTAGCTGTTCGCCATCTACGCACTATTCTTTCCCTTGTCCTCACCAATTCCGAAGTCCGCAAGTTGCTTTCTGACTTTTCGGTCATTGGACGAGACATACTTGCCAAAGCAGCGTCGAAAGTCGCCGAGAGCCTACGTCCCGGCGAAGAAGAGCTTTCCCATATCGACGAGGCTGCTCCCCAAGATGAGTTCGTTACCAGGGGCGGACGCAAAGCTGGCCCCGATGAAACACCAGTTCTGGAGGCGAAAGTTCCCGGAACTGACACAGTCGTTACACATCACCCCCGCGCTGATGATGTCACGGTAACAACAGGAGATGGTTCGCAGAAATCTGGGAAGCAGATCGTTGACGAGGGCCGTGCTACTGTTGATGTTGTCAAGGATGAGGCCAAAGGCAAAGCGTCTGAGGCTCAGGATATCGCTCAAGAAAAAGTAGACCAAACTCGTCAGCAAGGGTGGGTAGCTCTTTTTGATCCAGGTCGTGTGCTCATCCGCTGCTCAAGGAACGTGGAACCCGCTGTACTTGACACTTCATCTTCAGATAACGAGAGCAAAAAACGGGGGTTTAAGGAACGCATTCGCGGTTATGCAGTATGCTGATACTTTCTTCATCTGCGTCGCTATTCTGATGAATTTGTCGTAGGGTGGTATGTCTGAACGTGTCCCCCAGAAGCACCGAGAAAAAGCCTCTGAACAGTTCGAGCGAGGACGCAAGTTCCTGTCAGAGGAGTACTTCCCTGTGGAGCGCCGTGATCAGTTCATCTATCGTGGCAAGAAGGTCATAATTGAATGCCAAAAGCACGATGATTACCAGGACGCCATCAGATGGCTCCTCGACGAAGTTGAGCGATATGCCTCCTACGGGAAAACTGCTGCTGGTCACGGCAAAGAACGCAGCAGTGCCATCACGCAGGTGTGTACCGGTGTAAATGTTTCGACTCCACCTAACCCTCACGAAGGATAGAGCACTTAATGCTGCCATGTCTGAGCTTCGTACCCTGCTGGAGCGCTTCGCAAACGGTCGCAGTATGAGTAGTATTTTTGACGCTTCTGATGCTCTCATCGATGATGCTCGTCGCGATGACGAGTTTAGGAACTGGTTTCATCGTTTGAACACGTACATCCGCAAGGTAAGTGCCATTTATGGACACAGGATGACATACTCACGGCAGTGTAGGTCCTACTTGAGGCGGGCTTCGTGCTGGAAGATGATTGCAACCATGAGGGCAACGGGATTCTCGAGTCAGGTCGTCATTTCTGGGACCACAAGTACAAAGAGCACTTCGACAACCTCTTTGATGCTATTGGAAAGTGGTTCTCGGCAATGGGAGAAGACCCCTTGAATAAACGTTTCGGCGAAGACTGGGCTCGATTAACGCGTGACTTGCTGTTTGATAGCGAAGGTAGTTTAAAGTTTAAGGCCGACCTCTGGAGCGATATCAGAAACCTCATTTTACCTATGATGATGAACGAGGTACGTCACCTTTCAGCTGCTGGGGCAAGAAGTTAACAAGATTGGCACTCGAGGTTGGATATTTGCCTATTCCGCGTGTCGAATACACGGACGATGCGCTTGATCTTGTTGTTGAAAACCTCACGTTTCAAGGACGCAACATGTTCCCCAACATTATTTCCATGGAGGCATATAACTTTTTCAAGTTCAGCCCGCATGACGCTATTCAAGATGAACGGCATCACGAGTTCACAATCACACTTGCACAGATCCAGGCGGATATGCGAGACGTTGCTATTTATTACCGCAGGAAGACCGGATTCGCCAAAATAAGGGACTCTGGCTTAGCGGACATTGTCCTCGGTGGACGAGGCATGACAGTGACTATCCATCTTGTTTCTGCCGACAGAGATCGCAGCTCCGTCTTCAAAGTCAAGGATGTGCACGTCAAGGTGGATTCGCTGAAGTTTAGCATCCGCGATGCGAAGCACAGTTTCTTCTATACGACCCTTAAACCTATTGTGACAGCTGAAGTCAAGAAGCATATTAAGAAGGCGGTTGCACAGGCAATCAGGACTGGTCTGGAATATCTTGACGGACAGATTGTCACCGTGAGGGATCGCATGGAGGAGACAAAGACACAGGAGGAATCGAGTCGCCGTCAGGTGTTACAAGATGTGGGCATTGACAGATTTTCCAAGCTATCCCGCTAACTATAGTGTCAGCTGTTCAAGCACAAGAAGGAAGAATCTGGATCGATCAAGACGTCGGAGAGCAAGTCTCATTTCAAAGTTGTCCATAACAAACGTGCTTCGATGATTCAAGAAGGACATCCATCCGGGTGGGTCAATCGAACGACTGAACGCGAAGAGAAGGCGAAGGAGGGAAAGGAATGGAGGAGCAACGCGTAAGTTTGCTTTTCGACTGATCACGTGGCATACGCTGATTCGCATGCACAGCTTCTCGATTGTGCCTGACCCTATCACCCCTTCAATTTGAACGGAGGTTTGGATAGTATCTCTTTTCTTCACGGAGTTCAAACACGGATCACTCTGTGAGAACTGGTTTGTGTAATTGTATAGCCTATACCTGTATCATCTATGTAATGGGGCAGCTAATGCATTCCTTGTGTCATCTCTACTTAGTATCGCCAACTTTTTTCATGGCTCAAGAGCTCTATGTCGAGTCTGAACGTTTCTACTTTATCACGATACAATTGTGACTTACATAAAATGTTCCCTGTGTCGTCGTGTGGTGATCAGTTAGGACAGTTAATCACAGAACATACAGGCTAGTAGCTCTGATTTGAGTCCATGCCGACTCGTCATTTTCTCGCTGTCGACTTGACGCTTCTGTATACTCTAATTACACATTTGTCAATGTACATATCATGTACACACGTACTAGTATCGCCATGAAACACTCTGGGTTGAGATGGATCCTAAGACTAAAAAGCGTACAGTCAAGCAATAGATAGCATCCTCCACCGGCAAGGTTAGAAGATGGGAGACAGTAGAGAATGCGCGGTGCGAAATGCAGTCATGCTGCGACAGGGAGACAGCACACTGAACAGATACCAAGACAAAGCCATCAACAAATACGCCCGCCTCGTGAAGCATGGGTACGACCAACCCGTGACCCGTCGGACACGAAAGGTTGAGAGGATGTATATATCATCATCGTGTCGTAGAGCGAGGACAGCGACATATACCGTTCCAATCACGATGCATGGAGGGAGGAATCTTGCGAGAGTGTGCTGATAACTGGGGCTTTCAGACTCAGCAGGGGACATTGTATTGATCGGGTACGCCATCGAATGCGACGCAGGCAAAAAACAGGGTGGTGATGTTGAAGAAACATCATGAGTCAAGTGCGAAATGATTTAGGATTTTAAAAGTGACAGGATAAGCAGTTTATCGTGAGGAACAAGGATAGGTGTGCCCGACGAGTGTCAACCACTCGGGGAGCGCGGCATGGAAACTTGATAATAAAGGGCCTGCAGAAAGGTGACCCAGATTGCAATCAGACGATATTAATGGGACAGAAAAGATACTGACATGTAGAGGACGCCAAGTGATATTGCGACACTACTTGCAAGAGAGAGGACTCATCAAGCTTTCAAGTGAGAAGCTACAGCGAAAAATGCCAAATTGGGAAAGAAGTTCGCAGGTATTGTTTGCAGACAATTTTCGTTTGAACCCACTGTCCCGAAGTCGGAGAATTCTGAAGTTCGAAGGTAACATTCCTAACATAAACATCTCTCTCTAACAGTAAACCCATGTACGATGTTATGTAGACGACTACGATATATAGAAGCAGAAAGAATAATCAGGAGTGAGTAGAGCCGTGCAACGACAATCACCTGCATATGATAAAAGTACTGAGAATATTCTTACCCAACAAATCTAAGACTACAACTCTTCCTCATCCTCAACGTCATCTTCGAGCTCCGACCTTCCAGTAAGATCAACAGCATCAATCGCATTCTGCTTGTCCCCCAAGTACCAGTTCGGCATGACGAGGGCGAGCAAAATAGGCACCACGCTCAATACGGTGGCTGCGATTACCATGATCCTCATCGTGTCGTCGTAAGCTGAAATATGATCAGTGAGCACTTGCATTGATCGCGACTAGTTCGAACGCACCGCTGATGACGCCCTCACGTACGGGATGGCCAAGCGGATAAGACGCTGCTAACTTTATACTCCCATATAGCTCTGCGCGCTCCTCGTTGGTCAACCATGGCAGATACTTCTCTAGGTTGAATGGCATTGTGTTCGACCAAATCGCACCGGCTGTGTTCCCGTCTAATCAACGACACCAGATACGCATGAGAGTGAACATACCGCATGCGTTCCCAACTGCGCCCCCGATCTCAGTCACTAGGAGGACGACCGCCGTGATGATCGCCACGTCTGCGTGAGACACGGATGCTTGTGCTCCTACTTGTGAAGAGACAGCGGCAAAACCTCCGCCGAAACCTTGAAGGATTTGGGTCCATACGAGCTCAGCATCTGAGGCATTGCCACCACGCGAATGGATCATCAATGCAACACCCCTGACAAGAATACGTAGGTCAGGAATTTTGGTTGGAATGATTGAGACTTACGCTAGACGGATCACGAGTCCGATGACGAGTACATACTACCGCGTGAGGTTGAGCTCGACTGGGTTATTGAATGGATGAATGATAGCGACATACCTTGTAGCGATGGAGGAAACGCATACTGATACCCGCAAGAATGCCAAAGAATGTCAGTGCAACAGATTGGATTTGAATGAAGTACGTCGCGTTTACGAGGGACCTTCAGAGGCTAGGTTAACACGTACTCTCACAGGCAGAAGGTGAAAGGTACCAAGGTTTCACTACTAGGACAAATGAATACAGATACGTATACGTGAGGTAGTATGACATCTTTAACATCGAATAATTAGTTTCACCAATAAACGATGACGCCACTGGATACTTACGAAGTCAAAAAAGCCGATGAACGCCGCACATACAACACTTCTATTCCTGACAAACCGCGGAGCGATCACGGGCCTACTAGCGTAACGTAGATCCCAGACTGCGAACACGGCAAGAAGCACAACTCCCATGACAAGCATTGCAATGATCGAGCCTACGTTTCGTGCGCACTAGTAAATCCCTGGCTGAGAAGATAAGATATTGACCACGCACCATTCTTCCAGTATCCTGCCCCAGTCCGACTAATTGTCAATGGAAGTAAGGTCAGTGAAACTGCGAGCCCGAGAAGGACGAGTCCGACTAGGTCAAGCTGTTCAGCGGACCGAAGGAAGTGAGCCATCATGGATCCAGAACTATCTGGGAGGCTTGGCTGTCTTGAGTTGCTACGACTGCGTGATTTTGAGGAGTCGAGAATATCAAGCTTTTTGGCCCTACGTTCTGCCCACAGAAGAGTGATAATAAGGGGCGCAAGGGAGACAGGGACAAGGATGGCAAACATGCCATCTATGCATCACACCATGCAATTGAGAAGGTGACAAGGTGGAATAATGCCCCAGACTTACAGCCCCATCTCCAACCAATACTCTTGAGGACTGCAGAGGATATGATTGAGCCGATAAATGCATTGATTAGGAATGGTGCTGAGACGAGGGAGACGACAAGTCCACGCCATGCGAGGGTGGTGATGTCAGCGATGATAATCTGTGTGAGTAGTTGCAATCCGCTGGGGCAAGAATATTAATCTCCAGAATAGTGGCGTCATCGGCCCATGCTCACGTGTATCCACTAGAAAGATAAGTAAAAATATGATAAGAAGACAAGAATTGACACATACACGGCGTACAGTACAATGCCCCCAGCTATGGCACTAACATTAGGGGCAGAAGCTATTACGGTATAGCCTAGCAGTGGTAGACCACGATATCAACGACAATTGCAGTGAGTTCCATACAAACAACATACCGAGAACGTAAAAGATCACTAGAAGCACGACGTCAAACGAGCGCTTGATAAATACAGTGCGCACTTACACACACTAACATAAGCGGTGCCTCGCGAAGAGACGTCTGCGACTTTAGCGATTACAGGTTTACCAACAGCAACTGTGAATGTTCGATCGATAATTGGTCGGGGATGATAAGGAGAAATTACCAATGAGCGACTGGGCGACGGTGATCGAACTGATAAGGCTGTGCTCGCCGAAATATGAAGTAGCGAATGTAAGGTATGCATAAGTTGTCGATGCGTCAAGGGAGTATATATATGACGCAAGTCCAAGACTGTAAGTAGCAAGCAATTTATTAGATGCTCGTGCTGTACGAGGTGAAACTTGAAAGTGGTTTCCACGGGGGGACAACACGTACCCGACGAAGAGACACCAACGGGAGTAACGGCCATATACACGCTGTGCAGCCTCGACTTTCCTGACGCCAGCATGTGCGTCCTGCTCTGGAGCGAGGACTGAACGGACTAGGGGTTCATATACTGATGCTTCGTCGGCGTCAGACGAACAATCATTACGGTCGTCGTGTAGTGCTTGAAGTATGGTTGTGAGCGGAAATACATCTTTTTTTATGATAAATACCTTGGGTGCTGGTCTGAGGGAGAGGCATATAGCCTGCAGACATGGTTTGTTGTTCGGATTTGGAAGGGCAGCTAGCTGGGCAGCCTGATTGCTTGAAACGCAGCACTTCTCTGATAAGCGCCCCGATTCTCACACTGGTTGCAAACAAGGTTCCGCTCCGGCCCACAGCCAAAGATCAAAGATATGTATGACCCAGGGTTTATGTAAACATCACGTCCTCGTCGACCTCCTTGTTCCTCGTACGGATACAATTATGTGAGATCGTGACTGTCACAAAGGCCCATCTTGCTCGGAATCAATTCGATGAATTCTCGTCAACGATCAACATCTGAATGTCCATCTCTCAGACTGCTGCATTCACCTCTCAACACATTTACGGCGCTTATCCTCCGCGTTCGTGCTACTCGGAATTTGGAATATATTAATGAAAGTAAGTAACGATCTGATTTGAATATTGGTCTTCAAAGCTTCAAAAGCGGTGTGAAGCCTTGACCCCACCTTTAAGTTGTCAAGTCAGTACTACCGTGTCAAGTCCCAACCGTGCCGTGTTAAACCTATTCAGGCTCGTTCAAGGACCACTTATATCACAACAGGTTCACCTCAACATCTTCGCGGCCCCCGTGTTAACGCCACCCTCCACACTTACTACTTGCGCCATGTCAAAACCCACCCCGCGTGCCTGCACGTCAGTCTTATATGGGTATATTTTCAATCTCTCATAATAATTTCTTTTCTGATGGTGTCTTCTTAGGCCTCCTTCAATTCGTCACACGCTGCAGCCTAAAGTTGATCTAGAGACGCACCGGTATCGCGCCTTTCGAAATCAATGCGCACTAGATATGGAGTTACACTCATGTTAACCATCCTCTAGGATTTGACCGAGGCTTTTCTATCCAAAAATGGGCGATGATCAATTGCATAGCCTCTTATCCAACGATGACTCGGATGGGCCACGTCTTCAGACGAGTTGTTTTGCTACCGGATCTTCGGAAGGATTTGCACCGATTAAGTGTTGACGTGGATTCAAGAGAGGGAAGAAAAGAAAAACAGACATTGGCTGATGTAGCTACTTGTATGTATCCCTAGGATCAACAAAATATCAAAGAAATAGTCATGAACCCGATCTGCGTATACGTCATACGAGGCTGGCGTGGTCATATAGCTATGTCGTACAATTCCACACTCTGAAGAATCTACCTCGACAGACCATTTAAGAAACCGCCAAGACACCTCAGATCCACTCCGAATCGGAACATTGTGTGCATTTCCCAGAATTAAGGTCTCGCTGAAGACAAGTACATCAGCGGGACTGTCGCGACGACATGACAGTAAAACATACGCAGACGATGATTTAAAGTGAGTTCAAGAATAGTCTCCATGAAGTCCGCCTTTGCTTGAGAGCGCAAAGCTTTTGCCTTCCTCTGAAAGCGTTCAAACGGTAACTTTGCCGTCCAAGCAGGCAAGTTTCCTTGATGTGCGTGGGAAGCAGTCCTCACGCGTTCTTCATATGCTCTGACGGCAGCGCTCACACCTTCCTTGACAGCGGCTGCATGCGAAGATGCAATATACTGTTCCAGAGCAACATCAAAAGAGCGAACGGACTCTTGCTGGTCCTGAAGGTAGCGCTGCTTGTCGTAAATGTAGAAAGAGTGTTCGAAGATAACGACAACGGCTAAATGATCAATAATAAGAAGGTTCATCGCAACGTAACTCAAAATTCACCAGAACCGAGCTGAACAATGTTCTCCAAGGCTGATGAGCCAGAGGCCTGACACATTCCTAACATCAGAAATGTGTGTACAATCCGCGACCAATTGGACATACCACAGAGAGTAACCTAGACCGCATGTTTGCAGCGTGTTCCACATCAAGCTGGTTAAATCATGATAGAAACTTGAAAATTGTCCACCTCTGCTGAGAATCGATACACTCACATGCTGCCAATGTGTAACATCTTCAGTTAGCATGGCCCGAAATCAAAGAAGGATGAAGAAACTAACGTCCTATCAATTGATGGATCAGCGATGTCGTTCATCAGCAACGCTCCAGCTCCGAGGCAGATGAACACACTCACAAACTGTTAACGGAGATCGACATTTTTATTGGTCAGCGATTTTCCAATTCGACTGCGGATCGATGCACTTACATACTGTGACTGGATGGGCAGTGTCTACAGTCAGTATGACTCCGGCTTCGTAGTGTATCAACCAAACTCACGATCTGTTGATGGAGCAGCGATGTAATTGATCAGTATGGCGCAAGGACGATGGCAAATTGATATGCTCACACCCTGACAACAGAGCAACAATTACATCAGTGAAGAAGGCACGATGTCGATGGAACATGATCACACCCACAAGCTGTCAACGAATCGGTGATTTCTTCGGTCAGTGGCTCAAGGTCAGTAGAGGATCAATAGACTGACCTCCTGTTGATCGATAATCAATTGCTTTGGTCAGGAATGCTAGAGCTTGAAGGAGGATTGATAGACTCACACGCTGCGAAGAGTAGGCAACGACCCAGATCAGCATGGCTCGAGCTCGAAGATCGATAGACTCACACGCTGCGAAGAGTAGGCAACGACCCAGATCAGCATGGCTCGAGCTCGAAGGAGGATCGATAGACTCACACGCTGCGAAGAGCGGGCGACGACTCGGATCAGCGTGGCTCGAGCTCGAAGGAGGATCGACAGACTCACAGCCTGCGAAGAGCGGGCGACGACTCGGATCAGCATGGCTCGAGCTCGAAGGAGGATCGACAGACTCACAATCTGCGAAGAGCGGGCGACGACTCGGATCAGCGTGGCTCGAGCTCGAAGGAGGATCGACAGACTCACATACTGCGAAGAGCGGGCGACGACTCGGATCAGCGTGGCTCGAGCTCGAAGGAGGATCGACAGACTCACATACTGCGAAGAGCGGGCGACGACTCGGATCAGCATGGCTCGAGCTCGAAGGAGGATCGACAGACTCACATACTGCGAATAGCGGGCGACGACTCGGATCAGCGTGGCTCGAACTCGAAGGAGGATCGACAGACTCACAGCCTGCGAAGAGCGGGCGACGACTCGGATCAGCGTGGCTCGAGCTCGAAGGAGGATCGACAGACTCACAGCCTGCGAAGAGCGGGCGACGACTCGGATCAGCGTGGCTCGAGCTCGAAGGAGGATCGACAGACTCACAACCTGCGAAGAGCGGGCGACGACTCGGATCAGCATGGCTCGAGCTCGAAGGAGGATCGACAGACTCACAATCTGCGAAGAGCGGGCGACGACTCGGATCAGCGTGGCTCGAGCTCGAAGGAGGATCGACAGACTCACATCCTGCGAAGAGCGGGCGACGACTCGGATCAGCGTGGCTCGAGCTCGAAGGAGGATCGACAGACTCACATACTGCGAAGAGCGGGCGACGACTCGGATCAGCATGGCTCGAGCTCGAAGGAGGATCGACAGACTCACATCCTGCGAAGAGCGGGCGACGACTCGGATCAGCATGACTCGAGCTTGAAGGAGGATTAACATACGTACTGCCTGCAAATAATTGCTCAACATGAATAAGGTCAACCTCGAAACTTTCCAGTAGACTTACCAAAATATGTGGAAACCAGTCACCCAATATCTGTATCATATTCTCATGATCCCCAGATGTTGTTGTCTCAGCAGAGCCCAAACGTTTCAGGAGTGATCTGGACGACGTCAGTCGCTAACGCTCGCGGCAGGTAAATGAGACTATGGGTAGTTACATCTGAACTGCATATTTCATGCAGATCTCCAGGTTCGTCTGCTGGGTCGAGACGAATAATTGCTTCAGCACTTCATTGTCCAGAGTTTCAGCCGTGCGTTCCATGAGTGACCCGCAATCTGCATCTTCCCTATCCATGTCTAACAAATCAGCCTCATGATGCATCAGATTAATAAGTCGACGATCAGCAGCTTACTAGGCAGGCATACATGACATTTTGGAGGGTGTCGAATTTTTTCGGAGTGGTATAGAAACCTCAATTGTGGCCCATTAGCAAATGACTCTTCCGCGTGCTTCGGTGCCAGTTCTTCAGCCTCCTCCATCGATTTTCCCATCGATCTCAGCTGACCGTATGCTTCATCGTAGAGGGCATCGAACTTTGTGAACAATACTATCACTGGAACTGAGGATTGTGATTCTGCGCATCAATCGAACATCAACGACGGTCGGATACAAAAGCTTACTGTTGCTGGTGTCGCACTGAGAGAAGAATTTGATTTCGCCTTGGGTGAATGACCTGCATGCCTGGTCCATTGGGATACAGTACCTGTGTTGAAATCGTGAGGTAGCGCATGTGGCAATTGATCACCTGCAATTACCAGATGACATGGAGTCGATCTTTTAATCTTGTTTCCTTAGAACGGCGCGCGATAAATGCCTTAACCATGTCGAATTCGGATTCGCCGCCTGCTTCAAACCCCCGTGAATCATGAAAGATAAAACCTGGGTTGTTTCGAAACACCAGTTCATTCTCGATCTCATGTTCTCCGCGCTGAGAACGCATCAGTTCATGCCACCATCTATTGAAAGCACACCCCACCTCTCTGGATGCCATCAAAACTGTCGGATCGATCTGATGTTCATTGCTCAGTCCTCGGTACCTTCCTCCTACTGGCATCGAGATGCATACCTTTTCCCCGGCGCTGTTGTATATGTCTGGGTTCTCCCGTGTGTTACAAACTCTCCGCAACATAGTAGTTTTTCCTGCATTCGCTCTTCCTATAACGAGGGCTCGAAAGCGGTCGATTCTCTGTCTTATCTCTGAAGGATCCATGAGAAGGTAAATGTGATGAAGACTCGGAAGCGTTGCTGTAGCCTTATAACGATGACTGCAGTGTGTGAACTCGGCCTATCTAGATGATCTAGATTCATTGGGCAATGGGTTTACGCAGCTGTGGACACATGAGGCATACACGAGGAGTCAGATGCCCAAATTATTTTGATTATTCGGAAGTGACGGAACATCTGTGTTAAGTCACAAGTGCCAGATCCGTAGGAGTGGGCAACGCGCATGCCGTCCCTTAAACGCCTGAGTGCTAGCCATCGATTGAGCCAATGAATACAATTGCGAGTCATTGGCATGAACCTGAGTGTATTAGATCATACTCGGAACGAGACTTCAACGTTCAACTGCGGCGTCACATGCGCGTTCAACGAATGCAACTGCTCAAGAGCTACCCGCTGGGGGCAAAGTGTACATGAGGCCACCTTACACCGTTACTATGAGAGTGAGTTGCCATATGCCCATGGGACTGTTGAAGCATCCTTTGCGCCAAGGATTTGGTTTGTTCGTGACCGGATGTGAAGTGCACTAACTGATTGTGAAATGTCTTTGTGAAATATCGTTTGATGTTTCGAACGTGTACTATCGTCGACGGTTGAACTACACATTGCAGTGACATGGCCCGTCACAATGTGACGACCGTGAGAAGCGCAGCGCACTGAACAGGCAGCTGCTCCCATGTGCATGTGACAGTACCACTGTACATATTTCTGTGGAAGACTCGGTCAACGGGTCAACGACATGCTCCAATTCTGAAAAATCTTAATTAATTTTTGCCTTCCACCACACTTCATTCAATCCGTCAACTGGCACTCGTCCCATAGGCATAAGTACCTTGATTCTCGTGTTCCAGAGGGCGTCTCACCCGGATCTTTCCCAGTGCCTCTACCCAGCGCTTCGGAATCAGATAATCATCAGTTCGATCGCCTTCGTACTCACCGTCGTTGCTACATGCCATCCATGATCACAGCTGTGTTGCAGTGCATACCGCAGTACTTATTCTCAACAGCTTGCTCACTAAGCTACAGACTGTCATTCACCTGTTGTGTCACTCGAAAATGTTAGTCTCGGACTCGGACACTTTCGGTTTACAATTACCCAAACTAGGTAATTAGAAATTTATTTGTGCTCTTTCAGATTCATTCTCTAATGCCTCTAATCATCATAGTATAAGTGACTAACGACGAGGTCGGCCGATGACAATGCTCGTCGTTATTCACAATTCTCTTTTATTCTGAAGCTGCTGTATCAGCATTTCTAGTAAGTTGTATCGTTTCAGTCTCGTCATAACGGCTCTGATGTATCACCAGATTTATGATTACCTTGCATTCTGAATACCAACCACCCATATATCAGTGCTAATTTTTCTTGTAGGTCTAATAGACCTGGGGACGGAAGTGAGGGAATCATTTGCATTACGTTCACGGTTTTGCGATATTCGCCTTTCTCTGGTGCACTTGTGATCTCGTATTGTGAGATAGGCCGGTGCGCACTACCATGCAGGGCTGATTGCTAACCAGCCGCTGTGAAGACATGGGATATCCAAGATGTGAGCACACCCTTCATCAGTCCAGCATCAACTGCAACTCACATTAGTATAGTGTGCACTCCTTTGATGGTGCTGTAAAGGGATTGTCCAGACAGCTTTAATGACGTGACTTGCACTACGATATTTCGCAGGCATACATACCATTTCTCGGAAAGTTGGCTTTGGCATACCACGTTATAGCGGGTATTCACATTTACGATAGGTTTGTCATCGTGAAAGGCCCGAAAATGTCAAATACAGCAGTATCGATATATTGCTTCCAATACCAATCTCATCTGTTCGCAGGTTCAAACGTTCACTGAAGACCCACCAGTCAGCCCCCACACCCCTTTTCAAACATCCACATTATTCGAGAGCATGAACACCTGTCCAAAACGACTATTGATTGGCTACGAACTCAACATATTGCACCGTCAACCATGATACCAAAGCGAAAGCGGAAACATGACTTACTTGTCACGACGTGCTGCTCAGGATGCCGGCTCAATTTTTAACCGGTTTCGCCATGCAGTACGAATCTCCATCCTAAGGCGCGCAAGTGAGTCATATGGTTGAATCCTGGTTGCACAGCGACCTGCTCATACTCACGACATGCTCGGTACAAGCAAAGTCTTTGCAACAACCATTTGGACTTGCTTTGCAATCGTCAAACGCCATGCCGCATGCACTGACAAACACAGATGCTGTCAAAGCAATGACAACGGTGAGGAAGGACAAACGCATTTTCTGCGAGGCGATATGGAACTTTTTGCCAAGGGGATCTCGAACGATATATTCAAGGATGGGGAACAATGTACGATGACTGCCAGCTTTTATATCTTGCATATACTTATGAGCACAATCGTCATTGCTGTGCCAAAAATTTCGGCAGAACCTGCATACCAAGGACGCGTCAGTGACCCGGCCTTGGGTCGCCAGAAGCCTCGATTAGCGAAGCCACAAGCCCGCGGCAGTCGGACCCAAAGCACAGCAACTGAAACACCTACTGAATGTCGACGAATGCATCAAATCCCTAGTATTCACGTTCATCGCTCGCACTCGCCGTTTCATCAACATCTTCGGAGAGGCTTCGGAGAGAAAGAGGGTGATGATTGGAAAGCCACTCGCAACCCAACTCACGCCTTTAGACGGCGCCTATCGTCTTCACGAAAGCCTGGACCAATATCATAGACGCCATCGCACACACTATATTAGATACATATACATACTATAGGTACTGTCCAGCATAGGGCCCCGCTCCACCGGACAATAAACAAGGATGAAAAAAATAAATCCGCGGCAGGTATGGCCGGCAGAAATGAGGGAGCAGAAAATGAAAAAAAAAAAAAGTTCTTTGCTAACAGCGCAAATTGCATAAATGGAGCAATTTTGATTTCCGAATTGTAAAAAGTGGAAGTGCTGTCACAGTGTCAAGTCATCAAAAGACGGATTCGGAATTTAAACGCGGGTAAATCATGCGGGAGAACTCACATATCGTGAACTAAAACATGATACGACTCCAGCAACGGCAGGTTATAAATAATTAATGGTCGTAATCAATTGAACACGCTCCAGGCTGCAGGTCACCTGATGAAATTTCTGCCAATAGCAATAACAATTCTGCCAAATTGAGGTTCCCAGTCGTCTCTGACCTGAACACATTTGCGATAGACGAAGCTGGAGCAAAATAAAACATTGGCTTGAGTCGGGATTGTGGACTGATCGCTTTTACAGGATCATATTCTAGTGCCAGCATGGATACCACATGGGGAGCTTTGACATCCATGCTGCACAGAATCAGAAGGGTTCAAGGTTCAGAGCGCTCCACATGACGAACTATTCGCGACCTGATCGTATAACATCTTCGAACGGAAACATGATCATTCGTCTTTGCGAAATTCTACATTGATTTTTAACGCTGGTACTGCCATCAGGAGAGGGCTTCAAGCCCACATCACTCGGATGTGATAAGGGTTCAGAGTGTTTGACTGTGCTCGCCACCACAAACTTTCAGCAAGGGCTATTTTGCCTCCCGGTTCTAAAACTGTAAGGCTGATTGATTGAGTTCGACGGGGAATGATTCGGACCAAGAGAGAATGAGTGAGGGGGAGTTTATTCACTGGAGCTATAGAAAGTAGGGACCGACTATTTGTATGTAAGTGAGCACAAAGGGAGTTCCATAAGTAGTACTTCGAACCGGTACAAAGGGAATTCCATATAGCTGGTGTCCGTGGCTAGCAGAGTGACATTCCTTACAAAACATGCAATGGAGCCGCCCGCAGTATATTATAATGACGGACAACTTGATAACAAACTCAAAATTCCTGACATGTCTTAACTGATTCTAAAACCTTCCGTCTCGATACTTCCTGTGTTGCTGGTTTCTTCAGTGGCAAGGATGCTATCACTGCCATACCGTGCACTTGTATAGGGGGCGTAGATGAACAACTCCCCCGGCGGCTACCGTGTAGCCAAGGAGTTTGGCAAGATATCCAAGTCAAGACTTTGGGATGGTCTTTTTCCTGGCTCCAACCGTGATCTATTGACGCCAGTGTGCCTTATACGATACGAATCACGCTTGGCGGAGTTGATAGTTGAATACCAACACGGACTATGTATATATATATCTCATGCCTCATTCCCTCCTTCCCTCAGTCCGTTCTATCTGACTGAGGGTAAGCCGCTCTTCGTTATCACGCCATACATACATAACTTACTTGTCATTCCTAGACTAACGCTGTCTAGTATCAACAGGTTATGAGCCCTGCTCACTCATAAACGAGCGAGCGGAAACCTTCTAGACGCAGTCGCTTCTAAATAGAAGCACGTAACGAACACGCACGTCATCGGCGTGCATCGTCGTTCACCTATTTCACTTTGAGAAGTTCATTTATCGTGCTTTGCTTTCCCTTTCGGGCGACAAGCACTCCTAACTAAGACGCACGCACGCGCACAGACGCATACGCGCGCACAGACGCATATACGCGCACGTCCTTCCCCTATATATATAGGGATAAACCCCCATTTTGGCACCTCACGTCTCTCTCCCCCCTTGTTCTCGATCCATCACCACTGGTAATGTCGAGAGCCAATAAGCTGCAACCCCATACTCGATCTAAGAGTTCCCTAACTGCAACACCTAATACTATGGCTATGCCTTCTTTGATTACCGCCATCACCCTTAGTCAGACAGATCTTGAGAAGATCGAGATTCTCGATCGCAGTCAGAACAATTGGGGGGTTTGGTCTGACAAACTACAGAACTACCTACTCCTCAAGCACGGTGGAGGGTACCTTCTAGGCGTCATCTCCTGTCCAGATCCCGTCACTGGTTTTTCAGGTGCGGCCACCTGGGACCTCAATAACCTCTGTGTTATTGCTGCGCTTCGTACTCGTTCCAGCTCTGAAGAGCAAGAGTTTCTCCAGTCCTTTCACTAACGTGTTCCTAGCATGGACTGCACTCAAATCGCGCCACGAGAAAGTCGGACCAATTGCTCAAATCCTCCTTATCCAACAAGCCCTGGCAGTTCATTATCGTCGTTCTGAACGGCTTTCCACCACCGGTACTCAGATTGGCGACCTCATCAGGCGCATATATGCTATAGGGATACCAAAGGAAGACAATTTTCTCACCATTATGATGTTGAACGCGATGGCCGACGATTTGCCTCATGTCCGGAACCACATCACGGACTCACTTTCCACCAGTACTTCCACCTCTGTCTACAGGACCTTCCAATATTCGCTCCTGTCTCGATGTCGAGCAGCAGCTCCTCGACACGGAGAAGATGAAGGGGTCTGCAGACTTGGCTATGGCCACTTCCACCACCAAGGGCTCCAACGGTCGCAACGCGCGTCTGGGGAAGATCTGTTCAGAATGCCATGTTGCTGGTCACTCCTCGTGCTGCACTACTTGCAGTAGCTGGGGTCATCTCGCCAAAGATTGCTTCGGCAAAGGTGGGGCCATGGAAGGCAAACACGATGAAGTGCTAGTGCGAAAACGCGCTGCCCATGACGCTGCAGCTGCCAAGGGAGGTTCTTTTACTGCTAAGCCTGTTCCCAAGGCTGCAGCCACTGGTAAGCCTGGCGGTCTGTGCTATGACCAAGGGGGACGTGCGTACCTGCTTGATGGGGAGACCAGTGAAGCCATCTACATGGCCACGTCCTCTGCTGCACCATCCTCCGCACCTTCTACTTCACAGGAATTTGTGGGCCTTGTGTTTGATCCCACCCCATCCGCGTATATCAATGAGCTCCCCGGCTCTGATGATGAGGAGTACAATGCACTATTCGCTACCATTGGTGACTTTCAAACCAGTGTGGATTGGCGCGTCAACTCACAGAGTGTTGACTTCGCCGGCATCACTTATAAGGCTCCCAACCAGCGTCTACGCACCGTTGTTGACCCATCCATTGTTCCTTTCTTCCTCAACAGTGGTGCCTCTGTGCATATCAGTAATGTTGAGTCCGATTTCTACTCCCTATGACCTGTACCTCCCAGATCAGTCAGCGGAGTTGGTGGCTCCTCCATCCAAGCTGTCGGTATCGGCTCTATCCACCTCATCATCGCGAAGGGAATTCATCTCACACTCGACCATGTCCTTTTCATCCCCGCTGCAACTGTACGTCTTGTCTCCATGTCTGCCATTTGCACTGCCCACAGGTGCATTGCATCATTTGATGCTTCATCCTGCTGGATTCAGGCCCGCAGTGGCACTCACATGCTTACGGGCAATCTTACTTCGCGCCATCTGTATGCGCTGTCCGGCAGTCAGTTGTCCACGGACCATGCCTACCTCGCTCAATGCCAGCCTACCTTGCAATCCTGGCACCGTTGCCTAGGTCATGCGCACTACCGTGCAGTATACGACCTTGCGCATTCAGGCAATGCAACCGGTATGCCCATTGATCTTTCTGCCCAGCCACCCATTTGTGACACATGTGTTCTTGGCAAACAGACCAAGTCTAATGTTCCAAAAGTTCGGGTGGGGGATCGCGCTAGCAGAAAGCTTGGTATTGTGCATGTTGACTTGATGGATCACCCAGATACAATGTCCGCTGCAAGGAATAGGTACATTATGAACATTATTGATGACTTTTCCTCCTACTCCTGGGCCATTCCCCTTGCTGCTAAGAGTGACACATTTCCTGCTCTCCTTGCCTGGGAGCACGCTTGCGAACTTGAAACTGGTCTTAAGGTTGGGCTTTATCGATCCGATAACGGCGAGCTCAAATCTGCGTCTATGTGTGACTGGCTCCTTACCCGCGGCACGCAACATCAATTTACCGCGCCATACACGTCTGCCCAGAATGGCCGTGTTGAACGCCTACATCATACTTTTATGGGCAAGGCCCATGCTATGTGTTCTGCATGTGATTTGCCCCCCAATCACTGGGACGAGTTTGTTCTCACTGCTTGTTACTTGTCTAATGGTACACCCATAGCCTCGCAGTCAGGACACACCCCGTTTGAACGCTGGTTTGCTCATAAGCCGGACCTTTCACATCTCCGAGAAATTGGCTGTCGCGCCTTCGTCCTCATTCAAAATCGACACAATCCTAAAATTTTCGATCATTCAGTTGAATGCGTCCTTATCAGCTACTCCCTCGACTCCAAAGCTTATTGCTGCTATCACCGGGCAACTCATAAAGTGTTTGTTTCTTACCATGTTTCCTTCATCGAATCTCACCAAGCTAGTGACATTCCCTTGCATCCAGGAGTTACTCTGGGCACACCTGTTGACACTAACGTTGTTCCACCCACCGGCAGTGTCCCAGTTGATGTGCCTGGACCACCCACTGCTAGTAACCCAACACTTAGTGAGAGCTCTCCTGCGCCTGGTGCAGTTTTGTCCCAACGGACAACCGTTACTGACGCAACTGACACTGGTGACCCCCCTCCCATCTTACCTCATTGGTCTTCCCAGGTACCTGCTCCGTCCGAGCGTCTACAGGCTGCCAATGACCTACCATATACCTCCGCGACTCAGTGTGCGATCCTTGCCTCCATGGCTGCAGCTGATTGTCTGCATGCACTCAAGCCAATGCCCTCTTGCCTGCCCGATGAAGATGTCCTAGCCACAATGGTGTCAGAGGGAGAACTCGCCCACCTTGCTGAACTTTTTTCAGCCATGCCAGATCATCTCGACAACGAGCACCCCGATGATCCATCGACCTATTCCAAAGCCATGGCATCTGCCGATGCTGCTGCCTGGACTTCAGCCCTGCAGGAGGAGTTCTCCTCACTTTGCGAACTTGGTGTGTACAAGCTCGTGCCCCAGCTCTCCGTGCCTCGTGGACGAAAGATTATGAAGGAACACCCAGTCTTTAAACTAAAATGTGATCAACATGGTGCGCCTGCCCACTTTAAAGCTAGATATGTCTGTCGCGGGTATTCTGCCGTTTGGGGTCAAGATTATACGAAAACATCTGCTCCCACCGCCCGGCTAGAATCTTTCCGAGTCCTCGCACACTTGGGCACCGCACTCGATTGGGAGATCGATCAACTCGATATTAAAACGGCTTTCCTCTATGGTCTCCTTGATCCAGATGAAGTATGCTATATGGAACAACCTGAAGGTTTCGTAGAGCCCGGTTTTGAAGACCACATCTGGGAACTTCAACGGGGCCTTTATGGTATGAAGCAGGGCGGACTGGTATGGAATCGCACTATGAATCAGGTGATGCTCTCCTGGGGATTCACCTGACTTAAGTGTAAACACTGCATCTATTACCGTCGCGCCGATGCTGGCATCCTACTCATTGCAATTCACGTTGACGATTTTTTCACTATCGGGAGTTCCAAGGCAGTGATCTCTGGCTTTAAGGAACAGCTCCATACTAAGTGGACCATCTCCGATCTTGGTGCTGCCCGATTCTGTCTGGGAATCGCTATTGAACGTGACCGCGCTGCTCGCACAGTCAGTCTCTCTCAGGGTGCCCTTATCGATCGAATTGTCAAACAATTTGGTCTGAAAGACACCGTACCCGTCTCTACACCCATGGAACCTGGTCTCCAATTGTCACGCAAATATCACGCACCTTCCTCCGATGCAGAATGTGAGCTAATGGCCTGCACCCCTTATCACTCCCTCGTTGGCTCATTAATGTACTTGGCGATCGGCACTCGTCTGGATATCGCATACACAGTTCAGCAACTATGCAAATTTTTGGACTGCTATGGTCGCGTCCATTGGGAAGCTGCGAAGCGTGTTGTACGCTATTTGAAAGGTTCATGGGATACTGTGCTTGTTCTTGGAGGGGAGCACACTGCACGCTTACTCAGCTACACTGACAGTGATCTGGCGAGTTGTGTTGATTCACGCCGATCAGTCAGCGGTTACTGCTGCACCCTAGGCAGTGGTATGATCACCTGGAGCGCACGTCAGCAGAAGACTGTTTCTCTCTCCACCTGCGAAGCTGAATATGTCGCCGCCTCTGAAGCAGCATCCGAACTCAAGTGGTTGCATACCCTGCTCGAAGAACTCAATTTCCCACAGCTTTACGCTACTCCCTTACTTTGCAACAATAATGGCAGTATTGTTCTAACCGAAGACTCATCATTCCATGCGCGTGTCAAACAAATCGATATCAAGCATCACTCCATTCGACAGCACGTTGAACAAGGTCGTCTCAAACTGCACTATGTGAAATCAAAGGAAAACACCGCCGACATATTTACCAAACCCTTACCACGAAAAGATTTCGAGCACCTTAGATCATGCCTTGGCCTCCGATAATGCAATCGAGGAGGAGTTCTCTCGTGATTCGCATCGAGGAGGAGTATTGACGCCAGTGTGCCTTATACGATACGAATCACGCTTGGCGGAGTTGATAGTTGGAATACCAACACGGACTATGTATATATATATCTCATGCCTCATTCCCTCCTTCCCTCAGTCCGTTCTATCTGACTGAGGGTAAGCCGCTCTTCGTTATCACGCCATACATACATAACTTACTTGTCATTCCTAGACTAACGCTGTCTAGGTATTTGCCAATATCAGTCCGTTCTATCTGACTGAGGACTAACGCTGTCTAGTATCAACATGATCCAGCTGTTGCATTCCGGCTGAATGTGAAGACTGGCGCAAGATACGTGGAGTCATGCTCAGTGCTCGTGTCTACCATCTCAACAGGCTTACCTATATACATAGGTAGTGCAATGCAGAATCATTGGGCAGATTCAACATCGTGAGCCATGAGCTTTTCGTTGGTGCGCTGTTGAAGGGGGGACGAGTCCATCGGTTCACGCGAGAATAGACTCGTATACAAACTCCGCGCATTTGCTTTGCTAACTGTCACGACCGCCGTTCGTGCAGCAATCCGGCTCGAAAGGGCAAAGATCGAGACCACGCACGCTCACGTGGAACTTTTGGCCGAGCACCACCATAAATTTATCGACATAAGTCTGTCTAAACGCAATTGATACCCAAGTCTTCGGCAATGATTATTGCAGCCCGCTCTCCAATGAGAAGTGCCGTCGAATATGTGTTCTGTATATAATGTTAGATCGCACATCAACAATCCCTTGTTTAGTACTCACCGTGCCAACGTTCAATGGCGAGATGGACATATCTGCGACCTTGAGGTTTGACACGCCATATACATTCAGCCGAGCGTCGACGACTCCTTGATCTGCCTCTGATTTCATGGCACAAGTCCCGAGCTACAAATACAAAGATCAAGTATGAAATAATCAAAGTTTCAGCTGCACGCACTGAATGCCCTGTCGGTTGCACTGATGTCCGATTCAGTATTTTACCGCGACAATGGAGATGGAAAGTCAGGACTCACCGACGTTGCGGTGGAATCGACTGATCGCCTCGTCATCTTCGGCAGTGTAGACAATGTCAGGTGCATCGATGTCAACTGGCCCGGACGCTTCTCTGCAGGCTGCAGCGCTTCCCTCTGGAAAATTAGGATGTCCAGCAGCAATTTCACCTCTGTATGAAGCCATGCGTCGAAATATTTCGCGTGTCTTTTTGTACCCGAAGTCAAGAGGGGCAATATCGGATGGACTGTGCGAAGTGTCGGAGTTACACAAAGCGCCCGAAAATGAAATGCGTCCACTCACTCGTCTAGAAAGCCTGTAGTAAAGTCCATTCTTTCTTTGTCGTTCTCTGTTACATTGATATGAACGCTTCCGACGGACATGGGGTAAAGCTATTGGAGAGATTCAGAAAAAAACTATGAAACAGTTGGAGAGCAGTACTGTGTAATAACCGGTGCTCATGTAGTTGCGAGGAGGAAGGATACTCGAGGAAGGCCTCGGAATCTGTGACGCATATCTAGCTTTCGTGAGTGTTGTCATATCATCATAGTCAGCCAATATGCACGCACCCCGCAAGAGTACCAAATAGTGCAACGGCCTTGTCTGGGCGGTCCCGAAAGAACTCCTTCCAGCGTGGTTGAAAAACTGGATCCATGACTTTCAATTCCTCGTCATCAGGACGCCACTTGATTTTTGAATCGATGCCACTGGGGTATCAATCAGCATGATACCAGCAGTAATGACTTGCACCAACTTCTGTGCAATCAATGATTTGCCGCTGCTGTTCCATTGCGCAAGGCTTTCTACATTTTGGTAGTTGTAAATCGCTGAAATCATAGTGAGAGCATGCTTACCCTGTAGGATACTCTCCCCATACCAGAGAGCATCCATAGTGACAACCTCGTCAGCAGCCAAGTATGGAACAAAGGCGATATTGTGATCTGACTGTCCTAAGTCAAGCTCATAAAATGAACAGATAAAGTGCACCTCGATAATTTTCCCCGACGCCAGGCAAATTCACCAATGGTTCGATACCGCACCGCTTGAGAACCGCCTCAGCACCGATCCCGGACCTCTCCAGAATGGCCGGGGAACCGAATGCCCCACCAGAGACAACGACAAGCTTCAATGCTCTTACAATACTCGACGACTGATCCGCGTCTGGGCAAGACACTGTGTCGCTGGTGAACTCGACACCTACAGCACGCTTGTCCCTTTCATTTGGAAAGGTCGTCAATGGTTTGCTGCGACCTTAGGTGCCCACTTACTCGAAGATGATACGCTTCACGCGTTTTCCGTCCCAGACTTGTAAATTTGGGTTGTGAGCTTGATTATAGACATAATGGTGAGCGGCATCCGAACGCCTTCCGGTTGTCCCATCTATATACCTTTTATACATGAGCCAAAGATTGACGATAACCTACGAGTACAGGAACTCACTTATGCCATGGCTGAAGCACGTTTGGTTAGTGGTTGCCATTATGGAAGGAACATCGTAACTCACACTATATGTATTGCATGTTTCCAAATCATTGGTATCGTCGGCATACTGCCTCTTATGATAGGTTGTGCCAACCCGGATAAACTCTTCGGAGATACCTATATTACACCCACCAGAGGACACCTTGATAGGTCCATCATAGCCGTGAGTCGGACGATCTGGCAGCACTTCATATGTCTCCAGCTATAAATTGAAAATATAAGCAATGCGAACGAATATTGAAATGCATTCGAGACCTTCTTCATGAGGGAAATCAAATTTTTAGATTCCCAGCCATCGGCTCCCCAATCATCATAGTCTGAAGCAGGTGCACGAGTGTATACCATAGCTGTCTAATTATCAGAGACTTATTTCATTGTTGCAAGTATGCGACGCACAATTCACACATGAGCCTCCACCAACGCAACGAGCGGAAGGGACTATCAGTGCACGGCCGTTGAGATAGGGAGATGGATTTCCGATGTTGAATGTGACTGTGGTACTCGTCGGTGCTTGGTTAAAGGGATATTGGTAGGGTTGCACGTGAATAGGTTTATTGAGGGTGTGTTCACCCGCTTCCAGAATCAAGATCTTCAGCGAGGGATCATATGCAGTTAAGCGACCTGCAACAACACAGGCTGTAGTACCACCTATACAAAATGATATGTGAAAAGGGAAAACTACCACAAGATGATATTCGCTTACCTCCAGCGAAAACTATATCGAATTCTGACAGGATTGGATGAGACATTGATATGAAGGAGGACTACTTTCAGGCTGCCGTTCACTGCTTCATCTTATGACCTTCAGCCAAGGCCACGGACACTGGCCATGGAATTCCCTTATACCGGTTCGGAGTAGTACTACTTATGGAACTCCCTTTGTACTCACTTAGATATGAAGTCGGTCTTAACTCTCTGCAGCTTCAGTGAATAAACTCCCGACTCATTCCCCATCGAACTGCACTACACAAGTGAAACGCCAACGATATTATTACGCTCATTGGGGACTTGCGACTCGGACATGCCACAAATCACACGATCAAGACCGCGATGAATTGCGATAATGACTGATTTCATTAGGCCACGTCGAGTAATTGGAACCTAGATAAACAGTGCATGTGACGCTGGGTGTCAATGATTGAATGCGTAACGTACAGAACTGCACAGGAATCTTGATGCCATCGTTGAGCGCTAGCGCTGAGCTCACAAACAGCACAGACCCACAAGACAAGGCGACGTCCTGCGCCCGCCGTATTTGCTAGCATTCAGATGAGTGGTGTCAGAACTTAGAAGCCGTGGGAATAAACTCAGTCCAGCTGATCAGTTTTGACAACCGATATACGCACGAAGACCCCTGAGTGTATGTTGCATGGCGTTCTAACCACAGAAAAACGATCAGATTTACTCATTGAAAGCGGCGACTAGACATATAAACAGCAAACAGTGATTCTGGACAGTAGACAAACCGCAGCGTTGCTACCTTCAGCCTGAAGCACAAACACCAGGAACATCATGATATTGATATACATACAGAGCAAAGGAATATACAATTCGTACTATTTCATAAACAGTCTCGGCTGGTCACACTGAGACCTCCTGTTGATCCTCAAGGTAAGTTCTCGTCATCGGTCTCCTCCCCCTCCTCCCCTTCCCCTTCTTCTTCTTCATCTCTCATTTCGCCATCCAACCCAGGCTGTATCTGCAGGAGCGTGTTTGCCCAGGAGACTGCATCGTCTGGATAATTTTTTCGTCGAATCTTCAGGTTTTTCCATGCAGTTTGTAATCGACCCCACGCCGGATCAGCGCCTGAGCAATGGGGACGATAGAAGAGACAAGCTAGATTTGGGAACAGCACAGCCAGTAAGAGATAAAGATGCGATGCCTCCGACACCTTCGAGCATTCGACATGCAGCCAGCGGAAGGTTGTTTGCGTGGTCCAAAGTTCCAGGTTTCCATCCGACGCACGGGGAAGTGTCGGAAAATGCCTTGCATCGAATGATAATTGCAGGAATCGCAAGAACTTGCACTTTGTCGCTAACGAAAGCATTCCAGTAAGGGTGACCCGACCACGAGCATGCGGTCCTGCGGCAAATCTCAATATATGAAGATCCGGCCACGCAACAGTAATATCCTCGAGGAACTCGTCATCAAGGTAGTATTCTCCGACGTTCGTGAACTGAACACTGTGCAGGCTTCTGAACTTCAGTAAAGGCCGGAAAATGTCGGAATGGAGTTGGTCGTCAGGCTCAAGAAGGTTCAAGTTGTGATACGAATGGGAGACCACAGCAATGGCTTTCAGGGATGCAAATGTGTTGCAAGCCGTAGATAAGGATTTGATGAGCCCGGTGATTTCGGCTGGTTTAGCAGCTCTGTAATAGAAAATATCGAGGATTATCAATTGCGGCATGGTAACTTGATCAAGGAAGGATATGCAATCTGCCAAGCGGACGCCAGAGAGATTGAGCCGTGTGAGGGCACCGAGTTCAAATGGGATATCGCCTGGTGGTTGGATTTCCATATTGTTTGATCCATAGATGCTTAAAGTCAGGGTTTGGAGACAACGCGAATGCTGGATATTGGCAATATTTTGCCTCATCAGGTTCGTGGGGATTCGGCCAATTGTCAATCCATTTAACTTCGGTAGCTTAGGGACTATAAACGGAAGGAGCTGGTGGGGCTGATGTATCGCCCATTGTCGCAAGCAAGACGCGTCTGTAGAAAGATCACCAAGAAGTTGCTGTACCTCGTATGTTGTGACGCCGTTCGGTATCTCAAACTGGAGGTTTTCCAGTTGAAGCGAGAAGAATTGGCGAAGCAGAGATAAGAAGAAGGCTGGACCAACGTCTAGCCAATCCAGGGACACCGCCTTGAAATCCAATGTGCGCAATCTAGGAAAGAGCATCGCGGGCGGGAACAGCGCGAAAAGTTGCCGTAGGACAGGGCCACTTAGTTTCAGGGAACGATCGTGCTGCGTGACCATAAGCTTGCGTATCCTTGCCGCATTGATTCTGACGCGCTCCCATTCCGGAAGTAGCGGTTCGCGTGAAAAAATCTAAAAATTGGAGTGCGGTTAGCATCGTCTTGTCAAGGCTCAAATGGAAGACATCGCTCACAATAGCGCCATTATCACAGACATTCCAAGTGTCTTGCGGGAGACACTTCACGAGGGGTATCAAATTGTCCTGTTGACACCACAGCATGTCGAGAGCAGGTGATGAGAACGTGGAGCAGGTCATTGCCATACTTCGCAAGTCCGACTTGGAGTGCTTGACATATTGCAGGATCTCGTAGACGATATCGTTGACTTTCAGAGCGTGATGCATGATTGAGAGTTGTTGGTATCCCTCGACCATTTGGATGACCCTTTATATATAACCAATAGTGTCCACAGACCCACAGGTCTTCAGGTCTTTTGCTGTGGTAGCGTCCAGTCATTAAGCTCATAGCGCCATTGACTCGATCGGCTGCTTCGTTGTAGACAATAGCTGACATAACATTTTTGTTCCACTAGCACTTGGAACATGGCTATTGTTCATCATCACTGTAAAATGATATGTTTTTCGCTGAATGTAGAGTACTTACAACACAGCGTTCGCTGCAAAATCGCTGAAAGCAAGATAAGCGCATAGCTGCTCACGTCATCACGTCAAAGCCTCACCAGCCATGGAGAGGAGCTTTAGGGTGCTTGCTTTGCTTGCTGCCTTTGATTCTCCGAATCCTCTCAACAATAGCCGAAGAGGTCTACGCCAACTACTAGAGGTCCAAGCATAGATCGATGGACTGACAACGGACTCTCGATTCAGGCACCAGTCAAGGCGTCGAGGCTGTTGAAGATAATATTTCTTGTAATAGTAGTTGGTTAGACGCGTCAAAAACAATAAATGAACATGCACACTCATAGTTCGGAGAAATGATATTTTCATTCGTCTATAATCTGTTAGGGGAGACTAATGCACACTGCCGAGTTGCGAACGCCTTATCAATGTAGCGCTGAACTACAAAATAATCTTGCATGAACACCTCATCACTGTTCAGGCACACGTCAGATGCCGAGTAAAAAGAATTGTGTTTAGGATGCCTACCGAATTTGCGGGTGGGGATCACGTAGGCTTTGCAGCATTCTGTCCGTGAACAAACTTGCTACAACAAGATTCCGAGGGTGAACGAACCTTACAGGAATCTTCAGCGCCAAAGATAAAGCTGCACTCCACTGTTTCCGAGGCAGGTGGGGCCCCGCAGCAATTGCCAATGCCTTCAGGAGTGTCGCCAGATGAAATCATGACGTCCATATCCTACTTTAGGAGGCTGCAGCTGAACTATGATCTGGGAGACGCGAAACGAAAGCAGAAAAAACACTCATCAATCTCGATCCATCCATAGCTACATGTCCTGCGAAAATCCAGCGAAAATCCAGAGCTTCATTCCAGCACGATGACGCATTGCAATGGCTTCTGGGATAGGGGGTTCCTGCAGTGTGCCCTGCAGCTCCTCAGCGCTATCTGCAACGAGCACTCCACAATTTCAGTAGTGTCATTAGAAATGGCCTGAGCGGCCACCGCGAGAATCATTCAGTAAGCAATGCAGAGCGTGCGCAAACCACCGTCATTATCAAAAAAAGACTACTTGCTTCTCGGATGGACAGGGTCCATGTGCGCAGCGCCCAACTGCTACTGTGAGCCCTATATATCAAAGTTCGCCCGCGGCAGAGTCTGTATCTTGCAAGATATGGTTATTTTCAGGCGCAAGTTCTAGTGCGAATTCGGGTGAGTTTGACTCGAGTCTGAATGAGGGCTTTTCGCGAACGTCGTCTTCAGAACTGACTCGGAGGGATGTGTGCTTGTCACCGTTACTATTATGTTTGTCTGGATGATTGACTCGCATCAAACATTCATGGATCGGACAGAGGTGTGATGAATCAGGGTGGGTAACAGCATTATGATTAGGATACTGTGAGGGTCTCCGTGTATTTGGTGTTTGAAATGAAGATGTGACGAGCCGAGTGGGATGGCTTACTAATAGGACAGGCCCAGACTAATTTAAGTATGACTCATCGAGACTTGGAGCTCTTGGAGTTTGGTAAGCACTAAGTACTGATCCTATTCCTATTGTGCACTCACATCTGTGTATTCTATCTAGGTTGCCGACTGCGTGTGAACCGCAAATACCATCAGGAACCGTCAAAACCCTCCAGCGGCACGTTCCATCAGCCAGGCACCGGGCTAGGACAAGTCCTCGATGCATGACCTGGCGCAAACATGTATTGCTATGTTAAAATGCGCCGAAGCCAGAAATATATCCAAGGAACGGACAGTTATATTCAGATCCATCTAGTAGTCAAATACCGATTTCGCAGATACCGACAATACTACATATACATAGTACCAACCACACCGGGTCCTAGCAAACCAATTGTCCGCGTCCATCATGATAGCGATGCACTGCCGTGGAGTCCTGAGGAACAGACTACAGTACTGCGTACATGAAATGTCCTCACTTGAAGTATCAGGTCACATGCACCCGATATCAATACCAGGAAATCGGTCCACCAAAGCTAGGAGACGCAATTAAGACAGGTACCATATTTTTGAACAGCAAGATCCCCGATTTCGCGTGTCATCGTTCCTTAGTATCATCTTCGTCGCTCCATATCAAATCATCCCCGTCATCATCCGGCAGACCGCAATTGCCAGTCGACCTGAACGATGAGATAACATTTCGTCTGAAAAACATGACGATGCGTGAGGTTCTGAAAATGAGAAATGAGATACGGGAATAAGATCAGTCACCTTGCGAGTAAATCTTCGACGCCCGCCTGTCCCGCTTCCCAGTCTACGCGTACCCAATTATGCACGAGCTCACCGTCGCGATAAACCAGGAGTGTCGGTAGCATGTCGGTATCGACGTCCTCTTCCTGTTCTCCTTCATCGTCGTCGTCATCGTAATAAGCTTTTTCATCAACCCCGTCAGCATACGGGTCCTCCTCATCTTCATCGATAAATCGCCCAGGCATCCTATTCGCCTTGGACCGCACCCGAGAAGACGAAGACGATAACGCAGTAGACGCAAACCCAAGCGCAGCCGCCCGCGCACGAACAAACTTCGTCTCAGGATACATCCTCGCAAGCCTTGCCAACATCTCATCAAGAACAAAACACCGATCCAACGACTACGACCCCCCAAAAAAACCCATCAACTTCAAACACCACAAACACATCAAAGAAACAAAAAAAAAAAAACTCACCGACTCATACAAATGAACGACGACCCAAACACCTCTATCCTCCCTCTCAACAGCGCTCACAAACCCCCCACGCCCGACCTCCCTCAGATGCCCAAACCTCCCCGTCTTACGAAGACCAAGCGCATTAGTCCGCCTCTCAAGATCCAAATCCAAATCCAAATCCAACGCCTCTTTCTCTCTCTCCTCCTCTAAAAAAGTCTTCCCGCCCAGATTAGCCCTCTCCATGCGCCACCGCACTTCTTCCATCTCGCGCGCGCGTCGTTCGGCTTGGAGCGCAGCTGCTTCGTGTTGATCGCGGATGACGCCTTTGACGCCTGTGCGTCCGGGACCCATTCCGATGGATTCGGGTTGGGGGACATCGGGTTGGCGGTGGGAGGAGTCGGAGGATGCGGATGCGAAGGAGAGGGTTGGGGAGGGGCTGCGCTCGGGTGAGGAGGAGCGTGAGTTTGTACCGAAGAGCTTGCCTGAGAGGACCAGGTGCTCGATGTCAGCGTCCTGGAGGACGATGAGTGAATGGTGGATATGAGTAAAAGGTGCTTACCATTTTGTTTAGACGAAATGCGCCGGATGGAATAGATTGTTACGAGTGTCTTGACGATGAGTGTGGAGTAATTCACGGATCTCAGATCTCAGATCTAGGTGACTTAATTTTCAAGTTACCAAGCCTAAAATAATCTTCAAAATTGTTGTTTTATTTCCATCTTACTAGTACCAATGAGCAAAAGAAATGAACGAACGACAACGAAACGGGCGTATGATAATATGTATGATGTGATGTGATGCGGTGATATGCTACAACCCTCGACCAAGAAAAAGACTGTCCAATGGAAAGGCGTCCAACTCCACGAACCGGAAAGCAAGGATAGAGAGGTGTGCGCGGGCAGATGCTAGGAGGGACGCAGAGTGAATGGAAAAGGTGAAGAGTGCCAAGAAAGGAGTGCTGTGGTATTTGTAGTATGTATGGTTATGTGGGGAATCAGGAATGCATGTACGAGTGGTTGATACAGTGATAAACAGACAGTGACGCAGATAGATACCGACACAAAGTGGAAGATAAGGAAAGGAGGGTATGCATGTAGAGAGCACAGAAGCGAATGAAACTAAAAAAAACTAGGCGAGGTTACCAGCACCTGCCATACGGTCGAGCCCTACCCGTTTCAGATCCCGCAACGTAATATTGACGCCTCGGAAATCCTCAAGCCAGACCTTCCGCTCACCACAACGAGCTAGAATCTTGGCCCAAAACTTCAAGATTCGCGTCTCGGGACGCTGTCCAACGCGCATTGAATGGGATGCGCGACTCAAGTCACGGATGTACCGCAAAGATGGGAAGGCGTCATTGAAGAGTAGTGACGAGATTTGCTCCACCAATGGGAAAAATGGCGCTTCATCTTCCCTATCTGCAGGGAAAGCAGATGCATCATCCATGAGGCGCTTATCTATATCTCGGATGCCAATGAATTCAAGGCTCTTGTGCCCAGGAAGGAGGACGTGCGGCGCTATCCAATCTGGGTTCTGCCAGTTCCACTCTGCGTCCGCAGAACAAATGAACTCTTTAAGGTTGGGGCACCACTCTGCTAATGGAATCTGTTGCACAGGTCGAGGGCGAAGTGATAGGTAGTGCTCGACGACGAGCGAAGACGAATGTCCCAGTTCCAGCTGGTGTAGTTTTTTGCCATGGGCGGCGAAGAAATAAGCGAATCCAGGACCTGCGTAGCCAAAATCTGAAGAGACTACTGACACATTTCGCAGATTTGGCATGTCCCATGCCGCAAGCACCGCGAATGTTGTGTTGTCGAGGGTCAGCTTGAGGGACTGAAGTACAGGAAGAGAAACAATGGGGGATTTTGATGCGAAGAGGTGACCAGAAACAAGGGGTATAGTGGACGATGAAAGTTCCAGGTATTCGAGGTTAGCTGCAGTGCGCCGGAGGAGCGGTGACACATGTTTTGGGAATGGGTCATCGCTATAGTTTGTGAGAGAAAGTTTTCGGAGTTTGCTATTCGAACTCGCAAGAACAGAAACCATCTGTTCCGGGGAACAGCGCACATCGATAAACTCCGAGTAACGCGTACATCTCACTGAGTGATGATCAGAATAGATGACGAGATGGGGTGCGTAATCGAGAATGGTACGGATATCATCCGTGGCGCACCGCATGAGGACGGGTGTTTCCATGTGTAATCGGCGAATGTAGTGGCCGCTCGAAGGTTTGCCCTCGATAAATTGGGTAAGCAAGGTTAGTGCTAGCGCCTTTGCTTGGCTGGCTCGACTGATCCAAACAAACTCGTAGAGGTATTCCTGCATGTATCTATTCCATGCTTTGCTTACGAGCGATATGTCCTGCTTGATCTTCATGGCAGCATGGTATTCTGCGACTTCGCATGGGGTTTCCAAAAATGATAGACCAAGGGAGATGTCGAGGGGGTCTGAGTTCATAGTTGTGGCTTCGCGCAGAATCATGAGCCATATTTCGGTTGGTAGATAGGGAAGGTCGAGTGCGGGTGAATGAATGAATGATGTCTGTGGTTTGTCGCAGAAGTTGTTTAGCCTGTAAAAAGAAACATTAGAAAGTTGAGAAGAGAAACAAAGTACACAGGTGATTGCTCGATGTTACCGAGGGCGTACGATCTGCCCTGGGTCGAGTTATGGGACGTATCAGGAGATGAAACACTTACCGTTTTGCATGGACCTTTGAGGATATCGCTGTCAATAAACCACGGATCTGACGGACAATCTTTGGACTGCCTACTAAGCGCATTATCGGACAGGATGAGGAGAGAGAGAGACCTGAATGAAAGGGAGGGATAAAAGTTTGTGGCTCGTAGATCTTGAAGGTAGTAAGGAACTAAGTAAGGCGTCTATATATCCTGACTGTGCCCCAGTGATATTTCACACGCTGTTGAACCCTTGCTGTATGTAAGCGTTACCCGAAACTTGGCTGAGATAAGATGCTGTACTTATATCCAGAGGCTTGATCATCATCAGGCCACAAATCCTAGAATATGGTCTAGTTATTTTAAACCCCTTTGACTATCCTTTCGATAGCTCATACTGAGGGCCTCTGTCAGACTGAGGTGGCCTCTCGATTGAATGCTACCCTCGATTGTGAAAAATAATTCAAGGGTCCACCCTCGGATTCAATAACACAAAACGCCGTACTAGTAGTACAACTTGGACCTACGGCAAAGTCGCATAAATGATATAGGCACCGCGGTTAGTCTACCACGGCGAAGATCAACTTTAATGAAAAAATGCATATCTAAAGGTAACCGCATGGTTCATCGAAGCTTCGCAAAAGCTTCTTCAGCGTGGTTGCATGGGGAGACCCTGACAGGCTGGCGGATGAATGCTGTCGAAGTTTTCAAACCACCTTGGTCCATCCGTGAAGTTCTACTTTAATTTTTTACCTTCGCGACATGTCAAACAAGGTTTACGATCGTTGTGGCTATTGAATATTGAATCGAACATTCGGACATGGAGACGGGACTTTCGGCAATCGTTGTGAATTCTTCTACTCGATAGCAAAACGCGCGCGGGAAGGCCCGGCGTTCATGAGGACAAGCAGGAACTCCAGGACATTAATATTAGAATCTGGCCTTCTTTGGATCATGGACCGTATATGCGACACGGAAGAAGGTTCCCGAATCCACTAGTAGCCCACGACAAGATCACCCTTCACCCCAACGTTGAATCCTTACACTACTAGTGACTAAATATCTTATCATATCAATGAAAAAATTATAATCCCACGGCCGGTACCGGCGGGCAGTAACGTTATAACTAAACACAATAGAAGCCTTCACTCGTGTTTTACTTGTGCGAAGGTTCAGAACGTTCAACCTTTAACTCTTCACGCGCACGTACGGTCTGCCGTGCGTAGGCTGTTCGTCGGACTCTTGACTCACACCGTATGTTGTATCAGCCAAAACTAGTTCCCCGGGGCTTACTTATGCGTTTACGTTGTTTTCCGGTGGGGCAGCGGTCCCGGTACAAGTGATTGGTGGAGACTCGACTGAGTCCGGCCGCAATTATCTGTTCACGGCAATTTGGTCGTAATCTGTTATTCTTAAATCTACGGACGTACGGTTAACGTATATTGGGCCGATCACTGGTTTCTTGCGACTCGGAGAGGTTCCATAGAAGAAAAAAATCTTTCGTTAGATGGATGACCACCCGGTACGAAGTCACAATCGAAGTCAGACTCGTTTCACTCGTGTCGTGGCGCGATCTAGACTGGATGTTGCTTGCAATGCACTGCGACCCACGGATGCTGATGTTACGAGTGTTAGTGTCTGTTACCGAAGACAACCGCTGTGTTGATTTTCTTACAGCCTTCGTATATTAAAAGGCCAGTTTCATTGATATCGTCTTGCAAGTTGTTCCATTTACGTCCTAGGAGGAAGACTCATTGCTGATCAGGGGACAGGCTTCATGGGACTCAGTTGCAACTAGCAGAGCAATGAGCAAACATCCAAGTCTGGTGTCTGCACTGAATCGTATGGTTGCTCGAATGATGGACTCGGGGCATGACCAAGCCTGAATTACTAATACCGGTCACAAAGAGTTGATTGTCAGGTCCGTTCATCAAACTTTGTCAACGACTTGGAGCCTGGAGCTTACATGATTGGGGTTGATCATCCCTGACTCGGGTGGAGGGAGTTCACTTTCGCTCAAAGGATAAAGCCGAACTTCATCGGCAGGAACCTTGTTTACTGACGTAGATATCCATAAGTCTTGGTTCTCTTCAGCCACAGGTCTAGTGACCTTGTAAACAAGGTAACCCACGTACACCGCGGCGTTGCGATGCTCAGACCGGGGTGGGAACTTGGAAGATATGCCAGATACGGGTATGATGATGGTGATACCTATCAAAAGCTAAAGCTAGGCCGGTCCTGGCCTGATCACTAGTACTTCTCGGCGACGCCTGGACATGCTCGACTCATTCCGCACACCTGGTAACACCGACCACCTGGACCTGTAGAATTCCAAATAACATAGGTGGCGGTGTGATACTAAAATATATAGGGTGGGAACTTTGCGAATACTAGTATAGGTACCCATATCAACTAACATACGCTAAGTACTAGTTTGTACTAGGAAGCTAGAGCGGCCATATGCATAGCAGCCTATCATCCTTCATCTGAGCAGAGCCAACCACTGCGAGTCTATGCGTCTTGTTAGGCTGGCGAGCACGCCTCAAACTCGAAGCTCTTCGCAGATCCAATTAGGTAATAGTCTCTCAGACACGCTATTTAATCGAGTTTAACTTCATTTATACCAGGGTAATCGGACGAGCGTGCTCCTCAGCAGACTCGTTTTTCGGTTAAAACCGAAAAATTTCCCGATCCTTGGTCTAGGGCCTGCCCCTTTTGCCTCCTCAGGCTACTGCCCCGTGCACTTCAAGTCATGACTAATATGACTTGCGCAATCCTCATTGCCACCTCCTTTAGTGGACCGGTTCGAAAGGAGACTCTCTGCCTCTTCTCACTCGAATTACTCGTATCTATAGCAGTACTTTTGCGCACCCTCCCTATTCCCACCCTTTTCGTTCTATTGTACTTTAAAGCGTTGTACTTTACGTACGTTTCGAGTTCGGTGTCTCGAATCCATGAGGACCCCTTGTCCTCACAACGGGGTCCTCGAATTGCTGGCTAATCCTCCTAAGTCTGCGTCTCACGAGACTTGAGTGAGGACGATTAGACCTTCGACTCGACGTATATATCTACTACGAACACCGCGGAGGATCACTTCGCATCGACTTGCATCGCGATTCGGTATATGTACTAGTTGACGTGCATGGCAACTGGCTTAGCGCTACGCCTTTGCTAAAGCCGCACTAGCGGTTAGTCTATCGCAGGCCCCCCGGATAGAGGTTAACGGTAGACTCATGTACGATGCGGACTTGTGCAATAGAATTTTACCGGTTTCAAACTTCCAAGTGAGTGATAAACTTGAAGCATATTTTGACAGTCCTAGACCAATGCTGCATGATCAGAAACGTCGGGATTTGAAAAATCAACATGGATAAAATTGTGGAGGCTGGGGGCCTCCTATATATATTACTCTTTAGGTTTGGTCTAACTTAATTAGCACAACTACCAGTGCTCAAGCACTGGATGGTCGACTGCCCGCTCCTCGACTATAAGATAAAACACTAGTCTCTGTTCTACACATTCACCCTCCTCCCTTCCTCCCCTTCCACTAAGTTACTGTATTTGCCCTTATAAGTTATGTCCGACTTAACATTTGGATTCAAGGCCCTAGGTGCTTTAGTCGCTCTCGTAATAGCAGGCGGTATACTCCGCAATAAGATACGATCGAAGTCACGCTTGCCTCTTCCCCCTGGACCCCCTGGACATTGGCTATTCGGAACCGCTTTCCCAAGACAAAAGTGAGCACATACTCTCCGACTCTTCGTTCCCACTAACAGTGAACGCATTCACAGTCAATCTCAACAATTCGCTGAATGGATTAATACCTATGGTTCGATTATTTCACTTCGAGTCGGGCCCAAGGTGATGATTATCATCGGCAGACACCAGGTAAGATGGCTCCGAACTAACGCTAAATTACATACTCACACGAACGAACAGGAATCTGTCGACATCATGGAAAAGGAAGGTGGTCTTCTAGCGGACCGCCCCCGCGCAGTCGCAGCAGGAGAGATTCTGTCTGGCGGCCTACGTATGATCCTCGCACCTGCAGGAGAGCAGTTCCGGAGACTTCGCAAGTTGCGTCATATCTTCTCTTTACAGCTCCTTTGCTCAAGTTACATCATTCAGAGCCGCACACACTCATCTTCAAGCAAAGGCCGCAGAATCATATGCGCCCATCCAGATGCACGCCGCCCGTGATGTCATCCTTGACATCCTTGATAACCCTAAAGAACACCAAGCAGCTGCGAATCGGTATGTTTTACTGTATGGCTGATTTCATGACTACTTATGCATTCAACTCAAGCTATGCTGCTTCGGTCATCTTGCGTGTCATGTATGGAAAGTCCACGCCCACCGCCATAGATGCTCCCGAGATCATCGTCATCCACAAGATGCTCAAGCGCTTCCAAAATCTCATGCGACCCGGTGCGTTAATGGTAGAACGCTTCCCAATAATCAGATACATTCCGGGATACACAAGAGAGTTGAAGGAATGGAGAAGGGAAGAGAGTCAGCTCTTCCATGATCAACTCAATCGTGTTTCGAAAGAATTGGTCGGTTTTTTAATCTTTCCTAAATACTCGCCTGACCCAGTTCTTTGTAGGC